GAAACACAACTGAGTCAAAGTGATGACTCAGCCAGCAACCACAACAGGGAGATATTTCACTGGCAGTTTTGACATCAGATTTGACACTACTGGCAGTGGCATAAATCCCTGAGGAGACGCCAGCATTCGGAGTGCAGCACAGAACGGCATGGATACCATGCTGTCATCACAGGGCTGCACACAATTTTCTCTATTTAAAAAATCCTATAGCCATCCCATGGACATCCTAAGTCCAGCTGGATAAATTATATGTAGAATACAATCCCAGCCCAGCAAGGATATGCAGCGTAACAGCCGAGCTACAAATACTGCCTGAACTATTTCTCGTGACATGTGCTGTCTCACACGCTGCAGGCAGCTGCCAATACCATTGCTGAAGGGATTTTTAAAAAGGGAAGTTTGATATTTAGGATGCAAACCTAGAGGATTTATGTAAGGATGTATTTGGATTTCTTTTCAGTGATTCCCAGTCAAATCAACTCTAGTCTTAACTTTGATTTCAGCAAGGCTACGGCTTTACCATGTGAAGTTTCCAATTAAACAGTGGATTAAAACAGATAGGGTTACATGGGACTATGGCATACTGGCACATCAAGCATGTGTAATCCCTTCTGCATATACAGGTTTCATAGCAGAATTTCCATATTCCCAGTGCTTGACCTGTTTCTCATTAGCATTACCCACCATTCTCTCCACTCTCTGTGGTCTTTGCTGAAGACTGCCCTATCCATGGAGTTTGTACCACAAAGTAATTTAGATCAGGGACACATTTCCCTAGTGATCTTTTTACTGAAATTGTCCTATGGGTATAATCTGTACTGCAGACACGGCTGTAGCAATTATGAAAATGTTTTGAAAGAGTTCAAGTTTTTTTATAGCAGTGGAACACTCCTCTCATTAAGGGGGCTGCATCACATTAATTAGCCAGGTACACTAATAACTATCCAGAGCACGAAACAAAATTCGGATAACTCAAACTCTTTCCATCAATCACAAATGATTCCAGGCTACAATTTGCACACATTTACACGTGCAGGGACACGTATTTTTGTGTGTGTGTGTCCATGTGAGCATGCAAGGCAGGCAGAAAGATAAAAAGCAAGCAATAATAGCCCATGGGAGTTTCCTAAGGGATTGCTCCACATACAGGGAATAGTATTTAAGGAAAAGTAAAAAGAAGGTTAAAACCAGACACGTATCCATCAACTCAATTAAGATTCAAGGAGAAAAGCTAATGGCTGCCAGGTGGTACAAGGAGTTAATGCTCCTGCAAGGTGCAGCAGCAGAGGAAGCACTGGAGAAGGAACTCTGCTGTCTGTGAGCAGAATTAATGGGTGGTTCTGGACCGGCTGAGCTGCTGAGCTGCAGCTTCTCAATGAGTTGTTAATGGGGAACATGGCAAGTTAGGAAGTAATGAGGACTTTGTCAATACAGCTGTGGATAAAAGTGGGTAAGGAACCACTTAAGGAAAAAAACATGACACAAATCTGCAACTACAGATTCTGCGCTTTCCGGTGCTTAAGAAATTACTTGCAATATTTTTAGAAGCATTACAGAGGCTGAGAAGCAAAACACAACCACGGGACAGATCTTTTTATTAAACTAGAAGCAGCAAGCAAGAAAGAAATCTTGGCAATAGCAGCCTCATCTACAGTTTCTTCTCTTTTTTTTAATTCCTGGGAAAGCAAAAGAATGAACAAACCTAAATAACCCACACCCGCTGCAGGTGGAGGCACTGGAGGAGCACTGCTTTTGTACGAAACACCCAGCACAAGATAAATAGCTCCATCACATCCTGGCTGGGTGCATTAGGGAAGGGGGACCCCACAAACAGGTCCACCCCTACTCCATACCTCCATGCCTGCCAAAATAGCCATCTACGTGGCACCCATTTTCAGCAGAACTGGCTTGTGTCGGTGCCAAAAAATCAGAGAGTTTCTGCCAAAGTAACCAGATTGAAAGAATATGAATTTGGGGCGGGAGGGGATCACACATCCATCTTATAGTTGGGTTTGTTGCCATTTAGAAGGTGGGGAATGTTTTTCACGTTTTCTGAGCAAACCTGGCCTCCTTCCACCTCCTCCCCCTCCCATGAAAGCCGACTCTCCCCTGCAACAAGTTTTGCTATATAATTTTTCCCTTTTATTGTATGTAAAGACAAATACTATTTAAAACATACCGCATTCTCATTTCTTTACCTCCATGAAGAGTAAACACAGAGAAAGGCTCCCTAGAAACAAAGTGCTGGATTTATTCAAAGGTAAAAATCCCATTTTATGTGTCCCCCAAGACTCTGAGGGAGGTACTGCTTTCTGAGCTGGAAAGTGCTAAGCCAGGCAGCAATGCCACCATACTGGATTCACCTCCCATATCCAGCTTCTGCAGAAGGATGTGTAGAGCCTTTGCAGCTCCCTAACTCAGTCGAAATCCAGGTGGGCTGGCGTTGGGTGGGAAGAATGGGATAGTCTTATGATGTCACCAAGTCCTGCAACTGCTGTCAAAATTCTCTGACTGCATCCCACAACCTTCTCCACCCTGGGCCTGCACTGTTAGGGAGAAGGGGGCCAAGTCAGTAGCCAGCTTGGCTTCACAGGAACGAAGGGCAACCCCTATTTCATGAAAATACTGCCTACAGCCAGATCCATACAGTCCTGGCTTCTCTGCACCAGCAGGGACACAAGAGAGGCCAAGGATGGGGAAAGATGCCTGGACCTTGTTGCTTCCTTCTGGGCTTTTTCCAAAATAAAAGCAATTGCCACAGCTGGAAAGGGAATATGTCACACAGATACGCCACAACTCTTGCAAATCTTTTGCATATAAAAGTGTCATGTTTAACAAATCCATCTCCCTGCAACACACAAAAACCCGTCATGGAAACCGAAACCACCAGAATTAAGTCATGGACCACAAAGCAAGCTTGCATGTAAAAAACAAAAGGTGGGAAATGAGCAGTAAGGCTCCTCAGAGCACTACAGAGAAGTCAGCTTCACTGTTCTCCTTTCTGAGCAGTATAGGATGGTTACATCCAGCTGATTAAACTCCCAGAACTCAGCTCCATGGAAATATCCGGGCTCACACTTAGCCCTGCATCGCTCCCACTCCAGCACTAAGTACTAACGCATGTTTGATTAGGCAACAGGAGATGTATCTGCTCCTTCCAAAAGTGACCACAAGCTCTTGGCAATAACACTGAGTACTTGCTCCGGCCCTCACCGCACGCCGCAGGCATTACACTGCCCTGCCAAAGGAAGACGTCCTGCCAGACGGAGTATTCAAAATAAAGCAAAGAACGATCGCTTTAAATAATCAGCATTTCAAGTGCTCTAAGGAACAAGACTTGTATTAAGGCAACCTCAGAGAAAGGAAAACCTATTAAAGCAAGTGCTAAAATATTCCTGCCCTTTTCACTTCTGCACAGGGAAGTCTGAAGAAGGCTTACAAAACCAGAGGCTCAGCATTATTCACTCCTATGTTCCCTCTGGTTCCAGTGGCATTATGCCCACAGATGGGGACTATGGATCAGGTGAAGGTATTTTCTAATTTTTTAAAATTTTTTTGTGCGTACTAACCACTCTTGGACACGAGTTAAGCCTTCCACAATGGCAAGGCTGGATGACAAATCATGAAATTAAAAATAATTTAGAAGAAAAAAATAAAATTCTGGATTCTTGTCATTTCCCTTCTGTTTTTTAATCCTTCTTTGGAAATAACAGAACAAAAAGCGACAAACATGCTCATGGAGAGACCCAAACTTGAAAGGAAACAAAATGCCATCCAAAGGCAAATGGCAAAATTCCCAGTAACATCATTAATGCCAGGGTTTCATCTGGTATGGTCTTCTGTGAGTGATACAAAAGTATTTCAATTAAGATATCATATTATATACCATTTACAGCTACACATACAATGACATCCTCAAATGCTGCTTTTGAGATGCAGACCTCACACTGAAACAATAACCAAGCCACACATGCACAGCTCTTGGGGCACACGTGCACATCAGAGTTTGGCTCACACGTACACCCCAATACATACATTGGGATGTAAATGTGGAACCCAACTTGACAAATCAGCTTGCATTTGCATCACCACAATACCCATCCTAAAAACTAATATCCATCACTTTCCAACCAACCAGCACCAGCCACTGCTCTCATCCGTCCTGGGGGTGCCTGGTTTACAGCTGGTGAGAAGTGTGGCAGGGAAATAGCAGTGTGTTCCAGCACACAGTTGGAGACCTGTGTTACTAGAGGGTTTGCTGGGCTTTTGAGAGGACATGGATTTATTTTCTTGGTCAGCAATCTGTCCTGGTTGCTTTCTGCAGTGCCTGGGTGCAGAGCTGCCCTGCACTATGGCACCTCCCTGCCAGTTTCAGTGGCATCTCCTTCTCACCTTACATCAGACCCTGAGTCATGGCAGGGCTCCAGGTGTGCCTCCCCTGCCCTGGCCACCCCCAGAGCAGGGACAACAGCAGCACAGCTGGAACTTGCCACGTCCCTGGCCAGGGCAGCCCTGAGGTTACTCCTGTGCCCGGGTACTCAGTGCGGCTGGAGCCCACTATCTTTAATGACTTCTCCTTTCTACACACTATACCCTATTCATTTTCCACTTCCCCAATCACAGCTGTTGAGCCATATTAGCACACAGAAAAAACCCCCACATTTAAACCCAAACCTGCTAGGCCAGAAATAGAAGTTCTCATTTTCTTTTCCAAAACACAGAATAGCTGAGCAACAACGAAAGGAAAAGGAAATCTCTCTCAAGTGCACATCTGGAACCAATTTGCTGTATGTAGCCACTGGGTGTCACTTTTGATATATATTGGTTCGGCCATGCAGCAGTTCGGCGAGAGAAACAGATTTCAAAGAGGTGATCCTAAACCAAACCAGACTGCTCTGCAGCCTCTCGCGCGCAAGCTGTAATTAACAATTAGCCAGCCGGGCTGATTTATTAACAAAATGTCTTCACCACAACATTAAGCACTGTGCAGTGGCTCTTACCTCTCAGTCTGCAGCGTGACTTTTGATGGCTCCACATTGGGGTTTTCCCACTCCATCTGTGGACAGTGCATGAAGTAGCAAAGGGTGTAGAGAGCCTCTGGCTCCCAGTAGAACGATCCCTGCTTCTGGTGCATTGGTGTTCCATTCCCGTGCTGCTTGGCATTGAGGGGCTGGAGGTGATGCATTGCTCGAGACACCAGGTCGCCTGGAAAAAAGCAAAAGCTGGGTAAATGCCAGGCTTTTCAGCTGCCTCTCCCCTGAGTTTGCAAACTTAAAGGCACGTTGGGTTGTTTTTTCCTTCCATTTAACCTCACATATACAAACAGTACAGGGTCGGACAGGATCCTGTGTGTTGCTCATCACCAGGCTGAACTTTGCCTGGTGGTTTATATGGTGAGGTGTGACATACCCAGGCTGCAGACAAGCCCACAAAGGCCTGCAGGAGACATGTTTCTGCAAATATGGTGTGTGGGCAGCATTAGGCTGCCCCATCTCAGCACCACCAGTGCAGCTGGTATGCCGAGGCCAGGACCACAGCTACCGACTGGCAGCCTTTGGAGGATGCCAAAACCCCACAGTCCCAAACAAAGACGAGTGGGGACAATGCAGAGCAGCACCAAAAGCTGCATGCTCCTGGTCAGAGAGTGGCAGGGAAATCCACCCCTTGGAATGAGGAAGGAGGCAGTCAGATAATGCACAAAGCACTGCAGGAGCATGCAAATGTGCATGTGGGTGAAGAAAAAAGGGGAAAAATATTGTTAAAAAATAGTATCAAAAATGTGCAACCAAAATTCCACTTTGTGAGCCCAGACTAGGCCTGGAATACCTCATGTTAGCAGAAAAGCAAAACCTGTGAAGTAGGTTTTGCCCAGCCCCTCAGGTTTCCAGAGCACAGAAAATGACCAAAGAAGAAGATGCGCATCGTCTCCCCTGTGCCAATGTGGTTTGGGCCACTTCCTCGCAGGGCACATATGGGAATCCAGCACAACAAGTGGACTGGGATCAGCAAAGCCAGCCAGTGAGATTAGCAAGCAAATATATGGGCAAGCAGCAGTGAGTCTCTTAGCACAACACTGATGGTAACTAATTAACTAAAGCATCTCCCTCTGAGGCAGTGAATTTTACCTTTGTTGACTAGTGACCACTCCATCAAAGGCAGGGAAACAATTGTGGTTATAAACTGCCTGTTTTCACATGTTCAAATCACTCTGAGAGTGCTTTTGGGGGAAATAATGATCTCGAATCTAATCAGTTGGTTTGTTTTAAATGAAAATCTGAGCAAGAGCCCTGTGGGTCATTCTTAATCTATACAAAATCAAGTGATGGGGAAAAGAGGACATAATTTTCCCGTGCTAAGAAGAAGTCACGCACTTTCTCTTATTTGCTTTTCCCAAGGACCACTGAGAAATGAAACTTGGAAGGAAAAGTTTAAAATGTACACCAAGGTAGGAACATAAAACCAATACAGGGGGTGGGGAAGAAGTATACTGAAATCCTGGGCAAACTTAAAGGAGAACAACTCTGACTGCGTGCACAGCAGAACTACGGGTTTTTGCGAAATCCCACCCCTATGAATACAGCACATCCCCTCTCTCCAGCCTGACTCACACAGACAGTGCTGCTGCTGCTGCTATGATAATGTGTACCGGGGGGAATAGAAATGTCTCTCAGAAAAATCTCAGCCCAGTCCTCCAAAAACATAGCCTTTAAACCATGAAGAGAAGAAAACCGCTGGCATGAGGAAACTGCCAAGTCCATGATTTCAGGGTTTTGACACAATTTTTGCTGCACTCTGCAATATTCTTCTGATTCCAAGCTTTCATTTAAAAATAGTTTCTTTTCCCTCTGCCAGGAAATTGTCATGCTAGGACCAATGTTGCAGCCTTGCATGCTTATAATTTCCAAGAGAAACTGCATGTGGAAAGCATGCAGGATCAGGTCCACAGCAGGAACAGATGTGCTGCTGAGATGACTCCCTAGTCCTGCACAAAATATCTGCAGACAATCAGAAGCAGCAGGAAAGTTTGGGACCCCCTTCACACAGCCCACTCTAGTCACAGCAGATGTGCTCTGCCAAGTCTAGCACAGGCCAATTTAACCACTAGCAGCCTTGTTGATAGTAAATTCCTCTCTTTTTCTCCAGAAGGAAAAAAAACTGCATAGAAGTGCTGGCTGCAACATCCAGCTTTAATAATAATAGCAAAGGCAGAGAAAAAGCACTAAATTCAGCCTGTTCAGACTCAAGACACTATAGCACTGAAGCATGTGGTTAAAATTAAACACATGCCCAGTCTTATTTCAGTGGATTAAGACAGCAGACACCAGAGAACACCTCTGACTTTTGTACCAAATGATGAATAAAAATCAAGATGCGAGTTAGGCCCAGATTCTGGCAGTAGCATTACTTCACCCCACTCCTCCCCCAGTGCCGGGGTGATGTGACTTCAGTGACACATCCAGGACCAGAGAAAGCTGCATGGTGAGTAAGGAGGGAAAGCAGCAGCAAGAGTGACATGGGCAGGGTGGGCAGCTAAGCCTCATTGCCAATAAAAGGCTGGAGGAACTCGAGCCTTGCTCAATGGCAAAGCTCCCATTCATATCAACAGGACCAGGAATTCACCATTTTATTCTGTATTTTCTCAACTGCTTCTTAAGAAACCCAAACCAATTCATACCACAAAAACTGAATTGATGCTTTTTATGTTTAAGCCTCATTTAATTACATTATACCAAAAACTGATTTGCTTAGATCTTGCTTTTGCCTATGCTGTCTTCCTTTGCTATGCTATCTCTGGTCACATTTGAAGTAATTTCTATATTAAAAATTATTATAACATTTCTTTATCAGAGTCAACTCCAAGCTTAAATAATCAATACCTGTAAAGCATTGAGCTTCACGGAGAACAGTAAATAAGCAAAAAAAGCTCCATTATGATATTGGTGCCCAACAGGCAGAGCATTAGAGGCAGGACAGGAACCACTGATCTGTTTTATTCCACAGTGTAATCTCAAACAATCCAATACATGCCCTAGTGCCCTTTGCCTCCTCCAGCCACATCCAGTTACAATGCAATTCTTCAGGGCAGAGACTGCCTTAGCATATCTGTGCTCCAGGATCAGTGCCAAGAAGGCACGAGGAAGCTGACAGGCGCACGCACACACTGTATGGTAGCACTTAAGCAAACTCTGTAAAATAGTGCAACATCTGGTTCTAGGTGCTTGTGTGTTGTTTTCAATCCCTACCAGGTTCTGCTCCTTCTATTGTTACTTGCTAATATGCTATTGTTCCTCCATTTCCTTTCAAAGAATATACCAAGAGTTGAAACTCTCTTTGATTCCAGCCATTGCACCTCAAACCCCATGGATGTGAAACCAGCTTCATGAAGGGACTCACTGGTCTGCTCTCCAGCAATCAGCCAACTCAAGTCTCATCTGGGAAACCCAACCTACACATGCTCTCCTTGCCAGATGTAAAAGCTGTGGTATATCTGAACAACAAGGGCAGCCTTGAATTTGTGGCCAAGCACAGAGAGATAAGCCCCCTTCACCACTTCGTGTTAGCCATGCCTGCTCTTCAGAGCCATGCTCAGCACAGAAAGGCTCAGCAAGGGGAGGTTACCTGCTTGGAGCACTGCTGGTTCTTCTGCATTTTTTTAGCCTTGATAATATGTCTCAGCTGTATCAACTGAACACATATGAAAGGCCAATAAATTCCTGAGTGCATCATTTCCAAAAAAAACACATCAAAAATAAAAATCCCAGCAGCTGCGATGACCTTGTAACTCCATGGATGAGGTTCCCGAGGGCTGTGGCATCATGGCCCAAGGGGCTCGGCAGGGATTCCTGCCTTGCTCTCCACTGAGCAAATTCTCACTCCTGTTCCACTGCCTGAGGAACAGACTGGGGAGATGATCTGTCTGACAAGAGACCTTGCCAATTTTGTTTTGTTTTAAAATTAAACTAAATGAAAACTTCCGTAATTTATGCAACATAAGCCAGGCGAGCCAAAGCACAAACTGCTTTGCAGGCAGAGCCAGGCAGATGAAGACACCACATTGTGCAGGGTAAACACAAGAAAAAGAGAAAAAGAAGACCAAAGTGGGGGGACATTTGAGGACATTTTTGTTGCCAAAGCTGGGAAGCCACAACTAGAGGCCAGGCTCCCAGAGGGCAGCAAAGACAACGGCAAGCCCCAGGCTGGCACTGCCTTGCAGCCCTCATTCTGGATGGGGAAGGGCTCCAGGAACGTGGCTCCACACTGGAGCTTTTCAGCCCAGAGGAGAAACGCCGTGCCTTGCACACTGGCTACCAAAAAGCCACGAAACCATCCCTACACTGCAGCGTGGAGAGCTGCCACTGCAGCTGCCAGCATTTCATCCCTTCTATTAATAAAAGCAGAGTTCACTCATTGCTGCTGCTGTCAGTTCAGCACAGCTTGTGAATGCAAGGTCCACATACATTTGATTTAAGGATTGAAAATATTATGTAATGCGCATGTTCTGACACGGGCCTGGTTTAAGGCAATACTGAATATTTAAGGAACAGCTTCACTGACTTCAAGCCAAAGATATGATGTGACAGGGAAAGTGAAGCTGCTCCCATCTGTATGGGGGTGGTATACAACATACAACAACATACAGCACGCAAGTGGGCAGCTTGAGCCCTCTCTGCAGTGACCAGTGAAGCTTTTTTTTTAAATCTATTTGGCTTCAGTAAAAACTATTATCAATGCTTTTTCTATTTGAGAGCCCAATGTTTAAAGAATAACACATCTGTTTCCAATTTTGGAATGGGGAGGACACGGAGGAAGCAAAAAGAGGAGGAAGAGAGAGAAAATGACAGATGCCCAATGCCCATGTCTGAGAAGCTTCCTGTGAGATTTTTTCATCTGTCATGATGGACCTGATCATGCAAACCTGCCTGCCTAGGAGCAGGCTAACTGCCTTCAGAGGGATAAACTTCAACAGCCAAAAGCATTCAGCTGGGTGCACACCTGCACAGTCTGAGGTGAATGACATGGGACCAATCCTTACACAGCCGCTCCCCTATGACACCTACCTCGAGTTTTTCTTGTTCCAAAAATGTGTTCTAAAACTACCAGAACAACTTCACAATGATACTTTTGCATGCTGAAAACAAGCATCAGTTTTTTGACCTGTCTTTCTTTCAAAATCCAGGGGAGAGAGGAGGGAGGATCTGTTTCCA